AAGTGTAAAAATGTCTAGTACTTTGAATGTTTTAGAAAATTATTCGAGATAATGATATATGAAACTACTGAAAATTACTTTAGATTCCTTTTCCTTATTCTATAAATTCTTTGATTGGAATATGAATGTTGCTGAAAGTATGAACATTTTCACAGGAGAATGATATAAATGGAACTTTAAAACTTTTTTAAGTGTTACAGTGATATTTCGTTATATGTTCCATAATGTCAATAATACTGATTTCCTTGCAACATCCATAATTATTACAAATGTCAATATAATGAAATATCTTTTATGCGATGTTTGTGGTGTAATAAAAATCTGTGTTTCGATTACGTTTTTGATACGTACTACTCACTTATATGTAATAATATAGAATAAAAATATACTATTAGTCCGATCTTTGAAAATATGCATGCGTTCGTTGTCACTGTTAAACTGTTGTAATAACAATGGAATAATAAAATGATTTACTCAAATGTACATAATAATACATGTACATATCCATAAAAACAATATTAAACGCAATAACTTTTTTGTACGCGAAGAAAAACTAATATAAGTCCGTCGGGATACGCACCCAAAACTCCTTTCTAATACGTCTACTTTATAGCGAACGGACGGAAGAGAATCCGTTCACGACCATGGTCCCTTCTTAGATTTAACGTAGTTCACAAATTCACCGTTCTCATAACGTAGAGGGCAGCAGAAAATCCCTGACGTTTTACATTATCGGTATTTCAGAACATGAGACACGAAGTCTCATAAGATGATAGGTCTATCCTATACCTAGTCGGTGCTGATAGTAGCAGTGATAGCGCGAAAAGCACCGAATGTAATAAACAAATGTGTCTTTAGTGAGTCGCGCAATATATTCCAATGCAATGAGAAAATACTACGTGTTAAAAAATATTTTGTTTTATAATTTTCGTTCTTCAATTTCGCTCGCGTAATTTTGTTTACAGATCCATAATATTAATTACATAGTAAATAAAATTTGCCAGAATGATATTGTCTTCAATAACATAAACTAGAGTTTTCTACATAGATGAAATAATAAGTTTATTTTTCTCGTAATTTTGTATCTATCCCTCTTAAATACTTATTATGACATATCCATTTCCTTCATAACGTTGCTACTTGTTATAAATGTATAAGAACCTCATGAACATTACATGATACAAAATAATTAGGTTAGTTAATAATCTTGTTTGGTAATTAATATAAACATATTGTAAAAAATATCTTCTTTAATATTATAGTTACAAATCAAGCTTGGTTTGTTGTATATTATATTACAAAATTTAAAGTACAGAATATAAAGTTTTATCTGTACAAATCTAATAAAAATCATCAATTTCATTAAACAAAACATCCTTAAGGAACATCACCTAAACAGTTCAGCAAAGGACCAAAATTATTAATAATTGTACATACCATTTCTGTAAATACAGTTACAATGCGTGTTTTACTACATATTTACACCGGATATAAAAAGTAATTGCATACTACTAAGAATATTAGGATTTTTTTATCTGGTGTTAATGTTTTTCAAGAATTTTTTATTACAAAAATGTATAAATGAGATGAATAATCAAATAAGTATACATATTTTGTATCTTAAACCATATTTCCGATTGCTTTGTATAGTTAGCAATTAAATCAAGTGATACGATAAGCACCACATTAACACAGGTTGGATGCCTGCTACAAACAATATAAAATAGAGTCTCCTTTTGTTACCAGATGCTGTGTATGAACTGTCGTTCTGTGGAATGACTCTTAGCTTTAACGATCGCATAAGAAAGAATGCTAAAGATCCACTGCAGTACAGCAAAGCCATGTAGTAACCAAACTTCCGAAATAGTAACGAAATCGAAAGAGCTGTGTTTATTCCAACATACTTATAGCCACAATAAGCTAATAAATCTAATGTTGAGAGACTCGTTTCAATGTGCATAATATAAAGAGTTACAGTGTTCACCAGAACTTCTATAACATTCCATGCCAGGGCTGAACTGGCTAAAGTGCCTAGTGGACTGAAACGTTCCTGAATTCCTAATATTAAAGCACCTATAACTACATATGTCACAAATGCCATAGTTGGAATATACAAATCCAATGCATTGTTCTCAAAACGTGGTTGCAATGGAACATCTTGCTTATACCTGACAGACCAGTCCTGTTGAAAATATCAATCATTATAACAATTTATTATCATTGCACCTGTAACACTTACTTTATGAGTGAATGGGAACAGCAACAAAGTTAGTTTTGTAAGAATATAATTTGTATCAACAGCAAAGTAATACTTTAAAGCTGTGACAGGCACATATTTTTCAAATTGTTGAGACCCATATCCCACCAAAGCATTGCCATATTGTACAGCCATGTTTGTAACTACTGGTTTTACTAACAACTGTGTTGTAAATTGTGGTGACGAATATTCTTGACCATGGTTTTCATTAGATGGATAGTTTTGCATTGGCACTGTATTAAATCCATATGGTGGCGGTGGTTGTTCTGGCACATTAAAACCAAATTCAGATACCATACCATTGTTTATAGAAACCTGAAAATAAAAAAAATAATTAAGAACAACTCTATGTTGCTTTCACACTGTTTATTTTACTATTTTACCTGTTGATTATACACATATGGATTTTGGGGTACAGCAGGTGTTGGAGCAGATAAACTAGTAGATGGGTCGAGTAACCTTTTAGGTTTCCCTATTAAAAATATTTGTCATAAATTACTTTACAAAATGGTAAAACTAAATCTAATTAACCCCTTAACCTACGATTTACTTATCACATACTCCACAAATATTTATAACTTTAGGAGGGCACCGCCGCTAATATTTATATTTGGCCCGATTATCGTATTACGGGCTATGCCCGTAATATTCACTTTTGGCCCGATCATCTACTACGGGCTATGCCCGTAATATTTACGTTTGGTCCAATCATCTACTACGGGCTATGCCCGTAGTTGTAGGTTAAGGGTTAAGGTTTTAAATACAAGTCCGTCTTGACATATAAATTAATGGCGCTTGCTAAATGAAGGAAGCTTAAAGATCATAACCTCCTTAGCATTTCATATAGCACTATGAACTACGTTATAAGATGTTCTATAAATTATAGTATATTTCAAACTAAAGTTTACATTTCTTCTGAATGTTAATCGATAAAAATTAATTATAGACTACATCGATGTCATAATAACATTATAACATGACATCCTAAACACCAATTTCAAAAAACTTACCTCGACGTGTACTTGCGTGATCATTCATGGTTTTCTCGATAGTATTTGTTAGGTCGCGCAATAATGTAAAGAACAGCTGAATCAACTGGCAAGTATGAATAATAAAGTCACTGTGGGTTGAACACCAGAACACACAGGGATCGAAAGTAACAAAGGCTCGGACAGTCCACCAGAAAACGAGGAGATCAAATCCTAACATCATCTACCATTGGCAGAAGCCAGCTTCAGAAAATGCTGAAGGAAATGGTGCTTAGAGCACAGAAAAAGAACCTGGGACGTGGCCATTGACTGCAGAGTCAGCAAGTTGACCCTAGAAAACGAACCAGTGTACACTGAAAAGGATTCCTAAAACTACTCAGCGAGGATACGAGGAGGGTTGCCAGCCTTTTAACAGGACGCGCAGCATTAAATTTCCGTCTGACCCGTATGAGGGAGAAAGAGGCCCGCGACGAGAGGTCCCACCCGATGACGTGCTGGAGGGCCCGCCGTTCACCGACGAACGACGAGCACTCCTCCAGCACGTGCTGCGCGGAGTCTACCTCCTCGCCGCACAAACGGCATTCCGGCGTCACCGCCGCCCCAATCTTATGCAAATACTCACCGAAGCATCCGTGCCCGGTGAGCATGTGCGCAAGGCGGTAGGTCAGCTTGCCATGCCCACGATCCAGCCACGTATCCAAGCGTGACAGGATCGCCCCAACCTGCCTGCTTTTGCGCAGCGCAGAGGTACTTGCTGGTCCATCCTATTCCCGTGAGAAGGGGGTTGCCCCAACGTCTTACTCCACTTAGCTCTAAAACATAGGTAGGGAAACGGACGATCCTGATGACTCTCCGACTCCGAGAGCAAAGTACACTCGAACCCTCCAAGCGGCCTGGGCCTAATAAAGTTAAAAAGGGTGGAAACGCCGGGAGAAACAAAACCCCGGGTAAAGCCACCACTAGACTCTTGGGTCTTTGTGTAGGCCAGACAATTTACCGTCAGGCTCGTGGCCTCGAAGGGGATACTATGTGTTAAAAAATATTTTGTTTTATAATTTTCATTCTTCAATTTCGCTGGCGTAATTTTGTTTACAGATCCATAATATTAATTACATAGTAAATAAAGTTCCCAGAATGATATTGTCTTCAATAATAGAAACTAGAGTTTTCTACATAGATGAAATAATAAGTTTATTTTTCTCGTAATATTGTATCTAATGGAATCCCTCTTAAATGCTTATTATAACATATTCATTTGCTTCATAACATTGTTACTTGTTATAAATGTATAAGAACCTCATGAACATTACATGATACAAAATAATTAGGTTAGTTAATAATCTTGTTTGGTAATTAATATAAACATATTGTAAAAAATATCTTTTTTAATATTATAGTTACGAATCAAGCTTGGTTTGTTGTACATTATATTACAAAATTTAAAGTACAGAATATAAAGTTTTATCTGTACAAATCTAATAAAAATCATCAATTTCATTAAACAAAACATCCTTAAGGAACATCACCCAAACAGTTCAGCAAAGGACCATAATTATTAATAATTGTACATACCATTTCTGTAAATACAGTAACAATGCGTGTTTTACTACATATTTACACCGAATATATAAATAACTGCATACTACTAAGAATAGTAGGATTTTTTTATCTGGCGTTAATGTTTTTCAAAAATTTTTTATTACAAAAATGTATAGATGAGATGAATAATCAAATAAGTATACATATTTTGTATCTTAAACCATATTTCCGATTACTTTGTATAGTTAGCAATTAAATCAAGTGATACGATAAGCACCACATTAACACAGGTTGGATGCCTGCTACAAACAATATAAAATAGAGTCTCCTTTTGTTACCAGATGCTGTGTATGAACTGTCGTTCTGTGGAATGACTCTTAGCTTTAATGACCGCATAAGAAAGAATGCTAAAGATCCACTGCAGTACAGCAAAGTCATGTAGTAACCAAATTTCCGAAATAGTAACGAAATCGAAAGAGCTGTGTTTATTCCAACATACTTATAGCCACAATAAGCTAATAAATCTAATGTTGAGAGACTCGTTTCAATGTGCATAATATAAAGAGTTACAGTGTTCACCAGAACTTCTATAACATTCCATGCCAGGGCTGAACTGGCTAAAGTGCCTAGTGGACTGAAACGTTCCTGAATTCCTAAGATTAAAGCACCTATAACTACATATGTCACAAACGCCATAGTTGGAATATACAAGTCCAACGCATTTTTTTCAAAACGTGGTTGCAATGGAACATCTTGCTCGTACCTAACAGACCAGTCCTGTTGAAAATATCAATCATTTATAACAATTTATTAACAAATCATTGCATCTGTAACACTTACTTTATGAGTGAATGGGAACAGCAACAAAGTTAGTTTTGTAAGAATATAGTTTGTATCAACAGCAAAGTAATACTTTAAAGCTGTGACAGGCACATATTTTTCAAATTGTTGAGACCCATATCCCACCAAAGCATTGCCATATTGTACAGCCATGTTTGTAACTACTGGTTCTGCTAACAATTGTGTTGTAAATTGTGGTGACGAATATTCTTGACCACGGTTTTCAATAGATGGATAGTTTTGCATTGGCACTGTATTAAATCCATATGGTGGTGGTGGTTGTTCTGGCACATTAAAACCAAATTCAGATACCATACCATTGTTTATAGGAACCTGAAAATAAAAATAAAAATTAAGAACAACTCTATTTTGCCTCCACTCTGTTTATTTTACTATTTTACCTGTTGATTATACACATATGGATTTTGGGGTACAGCAGGCATTGGAGCAGATAAACCAGCAGATGGGTCGAGTAACCTTTTAGGTTTCCCTATTAAAAATATTTGTCATAAATTACTTTACAGAATGGTAAAACTAAATCTAATTAAGGTTGCACATGCAAGTCCATCTTGACATATAAATTAATGACACTTGTTAAATGAAGGAAGCTTAAAGATCATAACCTCCTTGGCGTTTCATATATCAGAATGCACTACGTTATTACTTAGATGTTCTATACATTATAATGTATTTTAAATTAAGTTTTCATTTCTCCTTAATGTTAATCGATAAAAATTGATTATTGATTACATCGATATCATAAAAACATTACAACATGACATCATGAACTCCAATTCCAAAAAACTTACCTCGACGTGCACTTGAGTGATTATGATTCATGGTTTTGTCGATTGTATTTATTGAATTATTTGATAAAAACACCCAATTTGAAGAGAAATTTAATAGCTCACAGGATAGACCCGACTACTTGCGCAACGAAAATCGAAAACAATTCGTGTTACACTTCGCCATATTCCGTTATTCACAAAGAGAGTGCAAGGTCAGGGCATCACGGATTTAACTAAACTTTTGTATATTGGCAGATTTGAATGACCTGTTTATGAAAATATATCATTATAGGGGCAGATACTCAATAGTTGTTGAGATATTTATGATTGTAGATTGTTGTTTACCATAAATACAATTGGTGACAATTGGAATTCCTATCAGTACCAAGTACCGTTGTTGCGTGGCGCTAGCGTATCGGAATAGGACGCCGTCGGTCCATAGTTCGATTCCCCTTATCGATAAACATTTTTTCTATTAGTAATTCTGACGTGATATACAATAACAATATAAAATATTTAATTGCATAATATAACAAAAATTAAATTATTTTTTCCATTGTAAAAAAATTTGTTGACTTTTAAGAAAAAAAGAAACTTTAGGGGGCACCCGGGTTTGAACCGGGGACCTCTCGATCTGCAGTCGAATGCTCTACCACTGAGCTATACCCCCCATTGTAATATATTTTCGAAAATAAGTATTTCCACAGCAGCTAAATAAATGTATCTTATTCACCTACACATTTATTTATGACATGAATTTTATAAATATAGCCATTTATGAATATCGCTTTTATTTTCCTTTAAAATAATAATGTTAACCTTAAATATTTAATAATAATATTTACCTTAAATATTTAACAATAACATAGTCAAGATACGCTGTATGTATGAAAATTCTTAATATAAAAGAAATTAAATAAGAATATCTGAAATATATATTCGTATATTTTTATTATTTTTATGTCAGTATTTAGGTACTTTATTCACAACTTAAAATAATTTAAATGTTATTTTCACGAAACTGTGACTATTTATGTTTTGAAAGTGAGAAAGAAATTAATTTTACACACTGGGTGATCACAAAAGTCGAAAGAAGTTGCACGATATTTGATCTCTGATGCAAAAATGTTTCATTTCTCTTTCTATTGATACGTTACTGAGACGGTGGTATCTAAGCAACCCTTACATTAACTGGTCGCGGTATTAGAGGGTTGCCAGTGCGCGTCCCACCTTCGTGTGGTGCGCTTCACAATCACCAAATCGAGCAGTCGTCGTGGAACCGTCGTTCACTGTCGCAAACACATTTTGAAGACTTACACATCGCGATGGAAAAAAGTCAAAAATTAGCGGTACAATTTTTCCAAAAGTAAGCTTCACAATATACTATCCTTAGCAAACATTTAATACATGCTAGATCAGATAATTCATATTTATAATCGCAAAAGCACGTGTATAACGCTTACATTAAAAGATAATAGTTTCTTGTTCTTATTTTGAACAGCACACAATATATTTATGATAAGTAAATGCATCTTGATGAACTTTTAAACATTTTTTTGCTTTCTTGTTACTTGATTGTGTACTATAACAAACTTCCAATGACTTTCACGAAACGTAGTAAACATTTACAGTCCCAGAAAATATTGTATAATATAGCCTAGATAAATTAATGGTATTCGTCATTGAAACAAATAAAGAATAAAGAATAATAATAATTCTAAAGTGTCTTGAAACGTAGAAAATGTAAAACTAAAAATCGGAATTGATCGTGGTTCAATCGAATGTTTCTAAAAGAGATTTATTACGAAATTAAGTAATAGATTTCCAGTAGTAATACAGTATTTGTATAGTATATTGAGATACGTCATTCGTAGAAAATAATTCAGAAACATGCAGTTTTTTTAAAAGAGTGTGTCAGTCCTTAAATATTTTAAATTAAATAAAACAATAGTTTGGTTTATTTACACGCAAAATAATAAATTGTTACAAGCATATCTTGTTTTTCACCCTTAATACTTAAACCATTATAAGTGCAACGTTCTAATGTTAATAGAAAGGTCATTCGCATTGCATTTATCTCTATGAATATATTGTACTAAGAACACATCTGAATGGATCAAGTGATCATAACGAATTCATCAATCCGTTAAATATTAAATTGCACCAATTGAAGCGGAGACATACGTTTAAGTGTGCACTACACGCACATAAAGCACATAGTATAAACACGATGTTTCATAGGAACTTTGTATCTGATTAAATATTACTTTCTACGAGTTTTTTTTATCAAACACAAGGCATCTTTCCTTAAACACGTTCGAATGCGATATTCTATAATCGCATTAACATTACCTTAATTTCACTTTATTACCTACATCATGCAACTGATGTACCATTCAATTTTTCATTTTGTTTCATTTAAAAGAAACTGTGAAACCTCGTACAATCGATTTCTTATTACTTTTATTTAAGAAATTTTTCAAAACGCACAGTACAAACACAGCTCTCATCGATCAGTCGTAGATATTCATCAGAGGTACTAGATTTCTTCTGAAAGAAGCGTAGTAAACGGTTAAATAAATTTGCATCTATTTGCATATAATTTCTATTTTGTAATTTCACGTACGTTTGTCACGAGAAAGTAGATTCGTATTTTTCTCGTCGATGCATCATGTCGGTTAACGTAGATTTACGTACCTGGCTCGCCATTGCCATGTCGCGCCGTTGCTTCGGCACTGATCGGTAATCGTGGATGGATCATCGATTTGGTCACCAATAGACACGGGTGAATCGAGCGTTCTCACCATGTTGGCCGCACGTAATCTTACATGAAACTGGAGATGTTATCATTAAATATTAACGACGCGCCATCACGAAGAGTGAAGGCCTACGGGAATTATTAACGGAGCAATAACGATCGACGTGCGGCACGGTGAATCAACGAAATAACGATTTTCAGTCATCGGCGCGTTAGGGCAACACGTGCACGTGGGTTCGTTGTACGTGTGTATATATATCATTAAACGTGCGCCACTTTGTTAGGGTCGGCCACTCTGATTCAGCACTCGAGCCGTGTAACATTCTTGGAATTTCGAATGCATTTTCTTTCAGGCTCTACGACCTCTTATCGACTCGGGGATATTGCGTTCCTTGCCTCGGGTTCGTTAGATCGTGAAAAGTTTCGAACGTCTGTGTTTTAAATTATTTTTATGGATGCAGGGTAATTAAAAAATTAAAACCATATATTTGTAAAATTGGACATAATATGGACAATGTATATTTAAATACATTTGTGACAAATGAAATAAATATTATAATAAAGTTTCATGAGATTTTCAAGCTCCCTTAAGTCAATAAAACTCTTAATAAAGAAAACTTATTGCTCTTCGATAGCCATTTTTGAAATTTTCTCCCTGGAAATATTAATTTGCACAGGCATTCTGGGTCTAGTTGTCAGTCTTTGTAGAAGTTGCTTAAACTATTTTTCAAGGTAATTAGGTAGATTTTCTTATTAATGTTTTTAAAAATTGTTTTCAGTGCCATCAATAACGCCAACTAACTAAATGACATTTAGATGCCTTCATGTAACACTCTGCATGCAGATTATAACTGCACTAAATGTATCTTTAAATATTAAAAAATTAAGTATTATCCTCGTAGTGGTTTAAAGTTCTACAATAAATTATTAAAAAGTTGCATGTTTCACTAAGATAAGATTACTTTTATCGTTGCAAGGCTACTAAAAGTTGAAAAATTCGATTCATTCACTTACTCCTATTTCTTGTTTGATATATTTCCACATTATTTTAAAATCGATACGTTGTAATTACTCAGCTCGCAGTCGCATAAAAAGAGCATAATCGTGACGATAATTATTCCGTCACGAGCTCCTACGCTCGACACGTTGCAGCCGTTAAGAATGTCTGGTAACACGCGTGCGATGATTTTGGCGCTTTTTATCACGGCCAATTAGGCCTCCAACTAACACAATCCCCGTGTAATGTACTATTTCCACGAGAAGAATCGTACAGGAATCCCGGTTGGCGCGATGCAGAATTCAAAAGGTGCATAGATCGTAACTTCAAAACCGCTATCGATTCTCACGTACTGTTACACACATTATAAACTGACTTGAAGTCTGGTTTCACGATAGCGTGACACGTGACGGGAAACAGCCTAAGAACGTAGACACTGCTGTTTAAGAACGGCAGTAACGCCGTTCGAATTGTGGAGAAAATTACTTCGACGACACACATGCCGGCGGGAAAGGAATTCTTTCATTTCACTTGTCTGACATTGCCTGACAAAACTAGTCTGTCATAGTTTCAACCGACACGGTTCACGGGAACCAATCGTTTTACTTCGTGAAAAGGAATTTTTGGCACTGTTCACCGAAACAGAGTTATTTTCCCAAAATGGTAGTCTCTCTTAAAGGAAATATCGAGTTATCAATTGTAATCTAAACACGACTACGTCGATAATACCATCAGATTTCACACTTTCTCTAATCCACTTGAATCAGAGTGGTATTTCACCGACAGCTTCAAGGATACTCGTTGATAGCCGATGGAAGCAATATCGTTTAGTGCTACCACGCCAGTAAAGTGCCCAGCTGTCCAATGTTAATTTCTTATCAAACTTTTTTTTCCTTGAAAATTAATCGATTCATATCGCTCTATTTTCCGAGCACATACTAGGCGGACGAACGTCCAACTTTTGGATGCACTTGCTACTTCACCGTTCTCCATTTCGCAATCATTGCACTGCAGTGAGGTTTCATGAATTCTATGATCGCAATGACAGAATTGAATTTCCTATTTTGTCAATCAATCCTTTTAATTTTTAGTTGTATAGAATATTCTCGTTGTTACGGTCTAGTAGTTTTCTTGTAAATGAGAAGTGTGTACGTAAATAGTGAAAAAGAAAAAAATATCATTTATTTCGTGTAAGCAATATGGTGACATAATTAAACATTCATATTTAATGTAAGTTTTGTTACCTCAACTTTTGTAAACCAGAAACTGTAGTTTTCTTTGTACAACATGTGAAAAAGGTTGTTGATAAAACTTTATCACAACTTTAGATATGTAGGTACTATTTTTTAATGTTTGCATTATGTCACTGGATTCATTAGTATTTGTATTAGATAAATGTGTATATAATGATGAGTTATGTTTATGTCATAAAATGCTCAAAATATTTCTTTAATTTCCGATGCAGACTGAGTTTGAATATTATTTGTTATCTGTTTATTTGAATTTATTTTGTTAGTCGCTTTCCTTTGGTATAAAAAGAAACTGCAATTAGTTATTTAAAAAAGTTAAGATTAACAATTAATATTTTTCACATTATTAATTTTTTATAAGTACTGTAATTTTTCTCACCTGTTGTTTCATATACTTGCTATTTACATGAAAAATTCCTAATGGGAATAATATAAAAACTCTGTGTAAATAAAAATTTTTTAAAATTACTTACAAAAAAGAAAAAATTATAAAATTGCATTTGTGTATTCTTACGAAGCAGATCAAGAGTTATTAAGATTATGAATTTCAAATGATGCTTAGATACAAATCAGATTTTTAACAAAAATATTACCGTAGTGAATAAGAATGGACTCTATTATTTCTTTCAATCAAATTATTCTAATCAATACACGTAATTTCTTTTCCACAGTATACATACATACTGTAAATACTAATACTCGGTATTCAAGAAAAAGTTAATAGACAGAACATACTCAGCAATTCTATAATTACAACTGAATTTTTTGTTCATACAATCAGGAAGCAAACTATATTTACGTCCTTGAATAATAACCAAAGACACGACAAAATGTTAATTTCTAATCTTTCCCGATACCGGTAGTTTCGCGTGGAAACCAGTTTTCCCATGATAAGTAGAAGGCAATTAAAGTGGCTGAAACGAATGAGCTGCTGCGCGTTCCAGCACGCTTACTTTTTCTCTCGGGTCTTATCGTCTACTGTATTAAGTCGTAACTTTAGGTCTTCATTGTCCAATTGCACGGTCAGTATGTATCTTACGTTTAACGACTCGATACTAATACTTGGTGACATACTTCGCCCAAGATGCATACTACACGAATGTCGTTCTACATTTTCGAAGAAAAAGTTTGTTCTAGTATCATTCGATCGTATCGTATCTTTAATTATCTCGACCTCTTTAGATAATAATGATACAAGAAGAAAGAAAGCAGAATTCTGAAAAATTCGACATGTGGCGACCTTGCCGTGAAATCAGAAGCATATAATAGTTCGCCACGGGGGATAGGTGTTGTGGCGTTAGGTTTCTATGGCAGCGAGTGACCTGGTCAGTCCACCACGTGGACAGTAACCGAGCTTTAAATTCGGGTCGGGTTTAGTGATAAGTTCCTGATAGGATCTGCGATCGTGTCAGGCCGTCTTGAGGGAACGAGGTCCCTCGGTGTCTGTCCGTCAATTATTAACCGAACCATTCTTTATATCGGCCTATAGAATGAGGTTTATTAGAAAAGTAGCTTACGACGATCGATACCCCACCTTCTCTGTCGTTCGCGGAGTAACGAAAAATCTGTTCGCTTTTATATTGCACGTCTTATTGTCACGGCGCGTCATTATCGAATTACCGTTGCCGCATTACTGCGGACAATGTGTAACACCTATCTGTTTCTGTATCGGTGATTGTTATTGGTATGGCTGCTCGCTCTGTTCATTCGCAGTCACGCAGCGGCTGTGTTTACTCCTGGCGCGGCAACAGTAGTTGAAACAGCTTCGGTCAGACAGTAGTCACGGATATACGGGGGAATTACACAGTAGATAAAAACTGTGGTAGATCAGACACTCGACTGGGGACTTTTAATAACTTTAATCGGGGAACAGTTTATATTTTGAATAATTTTAAATAATTAATTATATTTCAAACGCACCAATGAATCAATATTTAAGAGATTTTGTAACTATTAAAGTCGAATTTTAAATGATAATGATATTAATAAACATTAAATTTTTTAATATCTGTACCTTTTTATAACAATGTTAATTTGAAAAATTGGAGAAATGTAATCAATTGAATTGAAAAGAAAGAATACAGATTTCACTACTGCATGAACATTTCTAATTAATAGCGCGTAAATGATTTGAATATGAAACGAGGAATTGAAAAAGAAACAATATTTAATCATTTGCTTATTTGAATAACTTAATTTATTCGTTTTTATATACATATAACTTTCATTCACCGGTACGTGTTCATTTAGTGTTTCATCCACCCTATAAGTTATTGCACTTCATATGAGCACTTATGGTTGAGTTCTACACCAACGAATTTTGAACATAAAAATTTATCTTACTGGTGCTTCCAATTTATGGACCTTCTAATATTCTATTAGGTGTACAAATTAATTTGTGGCTCTCACAATTTGTTATTGACTGAAAGCCACCATAACTTTTTCGTATAGGGATTCGCCAACTGCCCGAGGAATGACATAAATGTATAGAAAATGATGGGGAATATTTTCAAGACTAGATTATATTTTAAAAGAAAGTCGCGAATTAATTTCTACACCTATTAAAATTCCAGTTTGTTTCAAGTTGTGCCAGGATTTTATGAAACACCTTGTATATGTATATTATATTTATATTTCAAATGCATTAACAAGTATTATTTTAGTTAATGAATAGACTCGGATGTTTACTCAAATATAGATTTTTATAGATTACATTATAGAAACTGGAATCAAATAGAAATTTGTTTATCTTAATAGGGGTTGTAACGAGTTTCAAATAAAACAAAAACTTCTTTGAACTATCTTAAACTTCTTACTACACGGAATTTAAAATAATCAGGTATATCATAAATACAAAAAATTCGCAGTGTATTGATAAAGTGTAGCAGTTGTACTATATAATTCTTCTCATCTATCTTTTTCTTTTAATGAATTCATAGACAACTGTCGATTTGAAAATTATTAGAATGTGGACAAACGTATTCAACTTCTGTCAATTAATATACATAACACTATTTTAAAAATTGTAATTAAATATAAATTTTGTAATTCACACTGCGATATTTATTAAGCTTCTCACATTGACGAGAATAACATATTATTTCCAAAACAACTAAATATTGGAAAGGAATTTAAATTCATTAAGAATTAGTTTTAAATTCAGGGTGAATTTCATATTCATTTTCATAAAGCTATGAATTTTTATCGTCATTTTATCGTTAATGTGAGAATATTCAAATCTAATTTTTTTCTTGTAAGGTGGGACAAAAACGACTTTTTTCCGTTCAGGGGAGGAAGGCAAATGAAGCCCCCCCCCCTGCTCCCCCTTGGCTACGCTCATGACTCTGTATCTAGTGCTCACTGTTCATGAGTTTATAACACCTATTAACATGGAAAATGTTTCGCTTAAGAAACATTTCAATAAAGTTTAATACCATTTACAGTAATGTCTCGATAAGTGCGACGTACTCGGGTCCTCTTCGGAGCAATCATGGCTAGGCGGAAAGGTTTTCAGCCCCTTGTAAATTTGTTTTTTACCCGAAGCCGAGCCTCTGCTTAGCTTCTGTTTACTCTGTTTTGATTCATTCCAGCGGGTAATCCCCTATTGGTGGAAATAACGCCGTTGCTCGTGTCGCATTCATCGAGAAATCACTGTATGTGTTATTATTTACCTAATAAAACCTGCAGTAGGTACAGAATTAAAAATTCTCCTCCACTTTGTTTTTACATATTAATTTCTGAAATTGTGCATTCGCATAAATTTCCGCAGTCTATTAATTGTTTAATACACGACG